GAGATGATCTGTGCCAGATGCTCACCAATAACTCTTTATTCAAAATAACAGTGTTGATAAGAACAACTTACGAAACGCGCCAAAAAATACCAACGCAATCGAACTATTTGCAAAGAAAACAGAGCCAACAATCATTTGCTAACACAAGTATTCACCTTTCGGCAACGGAGGCATTTCAGTAAAACCCTAATACGAGAATACCCATGCTGATTGTCCGACTGTCTTGGTACTTCCAGTACTAGTTATTTCCTCTTCATCGGGGGGCTGTTCAAAGATAACTGAACTTGGATGATTTGTTTCCTCAACAGCTTTTTTACTTGTGAGAAAAAAAAGTGCTTAAAACACTGTTTCAGCCTTACTGGGTTCCACACGGTTCAATTTGGCACTCATTGGATTTTTGGGCTGTGTTGTTATCTATGCGCTGCGTAGCGATGTCAGTTTTGCAATTGTCTGCATGGTAAATAGTACCGCGGTCGATCTTCTGGCCGGCAACACCAAGAGTAATGTCAGCAAACACACAACATGTCAAATTCGTGATGATCCCGCTGATACATTGAATAGCAAAAAAGACGTCGTTAGTTTTTCCTAAATTATTTTCAAGATCATTTAAAATAATATGAGATAATGCGAGGGTATGTCCGGCATGCTGACCACTAGACGATACAGTACTGGTCAAAAAAACTGTAAGAAGTGCCAGCTGCATAGCTCAAAAACTATGAATCGCGGCTGATCAAGGTATTAAAGTATTTTGGAAGCATGTCAAGAAGCCGCCTACTCTCTTGGTTTTGAAGAGCTCTGGAATCTCTAGCTTGGAAATAAGCATGAAAAATCGAGTTGAGAAACTAAAAACTCAGCTGGAGCATAAACACAAGCCAGAATTCTTAGCCGATGAGGAACGAAAACTTAGCGGTATAGGTTCGATGTGAAGCTGAACAGTACAAACTGCTTCTCAAAACAAAAAGTTAGGTTTAGGAAAATCCAAATTCTGATGCTAAATTTAAGCAGTTTTGGAATTTTGAGTAATGTTTTAGCCCAAGGCATTATTTTGTTCAAATGGCAGTGAAGGGATGCGGCCTGTTTTTTGGAAACTATGACTGTACTGATATACTGGAAATTTCAAAAGAATGTCGGGAGAGGTAGAAGAGATAAGCCTAAATTTTGCGCTCATTCCCAAAGACTTAGAGTGACTGGTGCACAATCATTCTATCCTTCCATATCTTTGGAAACCTTTTTAGAACTAATCTGTCCAGGAGGGTACAAATTCCTTCGCTGTTGAGCTTATTCAAGTACCTGCTGTCGTAGTGGCACGCGTGAATAGGTATAGAGACTTTGAGCAATTTCCTTGCTCAGTGGACATTTTATGTAGCGTTTTGTTTTCTATCTATTCAGCAAACGACATTTCCAAACACTCTGTTACTTTCTCCATCGCAGCTAGCGCTCGCTCTTCAGCTTTAGTC